CGACGTTCTGTTCATCCCAGTCTGCTTCGTCCGCTGCTGACGCGAAGGCTCGGTCACCACGAAAACCACTGGTGAGGTCCCGATTCTCGTGCAAGTTGGCGAGGTACGTCTGAAGGGTGAGTCTTTCATAGAAGATCACGTCACGTGCTGCTACTGTTTCCTTTGTGTGGACGTCGAAGATTCTCCATGCGTTGTAATTTTTCTCGATGCCGAGGTGTAGTCCCCACTGTGCCCGTTGCGAAAATCTTCCCGCTCGTGCTTCTGGGGGCCTGTACTGTACCATGCACCCGAAAACTCGTAACATTTTTGTGCTGCCCTGCTTCCCTGTCCACAGCAGATGCGGTGATGCGTTGTTCGGGAGTGACGACGACGACAACAGGTTGTGCAGCATGACGGCGTGGTCCATTGCAGCTGGCCACTGGTGGTTGGGTAGCCGCATGCCACGTAACAGTTTGCGCATGCTGTTCTGCAGGGTCCTGTTCATTCGTTCTGCAACACCTTGCTGCTGATGTGCGTAGGGAAGGGAGAGGAGTTGCTTGATCCCCCTTTCCGCCAGGAACTGCTTGAAGCGCTGAGAGGTGTATTCGCCACCTCCGTCTGACTGGAAACTTTTCAGTTGTGTTCCAGACTCTCTCTCTGCTATCGGTAGCCAGGCGGCGAATGCTGCGAGTGCCATGTCGCGGCTGTGTAGGTTACGATGCCAGACATATCGAGTGGCGGCGTCGATGAAGGTGATGGTGTAGTTGTAGTTGACTTGTCCTGGTTCGCGATTGTAGAGGATGTCGCTGTAGACCTTTTCGAGTGGTGCGTACGCTGGAGCGCTCGGGTTATGATGTGGAGCGAACGGTCGATGAGGTAAGTCAGCTTCGGGACATATAAGGCAGGTCCCTCGTGCCTTCTGGAGTTCTCTGCCATCGGGTAGAAGTAGAGAGTCTTTGTCAAGAACTCCTGCTCTTATCGTGTTATTCAAAACCGTGTTGCTTGGATGTCCTGTGCGTGCGTGCCAGATCTCTTCAGAGGCGCGGTGTCCGGGTGAACGCTGATATGCGTCGGAGTTGGAGTAAAAGCTGGCGACGAGGTTGGCGCTTCGGTGGACTTCACGTTGAGTCGGATTCAGCTGTTGCGCGGGTGTTGGTGGTGCTTCGTCGACTGTGACTGGTGTCGTTGTTCCTGCTGCTGCTGATGTCGTTGCTGCTGCCGATGTTGTTGCTGCTGCCGATGTTGTTGCTGTTGGTGATGTTGTCGCCTCTGCTTCTTGTTGAATCGTTGCTAACGTTCTTGTTCGTTCTGCTTCAGGGATAGTGTGGGAGTACCAGAAACCTCCCGGGCTGAAGTCGGGGTCGAGATCCGGAGGGTGTGTCCAATCAGCAAAGTTCACAATGGCGTCGCTATCTGCAGTGCCGAGGTCGGGAACGAAGTCGAGGACGAAGACGTTGTTCTTCAGCACTGCCTTCCCGATGTAGAGACCGCCTCTCTCGTGGTAAAGCTTGAACTCCTGGGTCGTGCTGTCGGCTTCCAGATGAATTCCTTTCGCCATCAACTGGCTAACACTCAGTAAGTTGTAGCCGAGTCCTTCAGCGATGAGTACCTTAGACATGTGCAGTATGACATTTGTTTCTCTTGACTGAAGCTGTACCACTCCTTGTCTTCGTGTGCGCAGGTTTTGATTGTTGGCAACCGTGATGATCACTTCTCGTTGGAGTCGATGTTCGCGTTGTACGAAACGCCCGGACGAGCACATGTGTTGCCCGCAGCAACTGTCCAAGAACCAGGTGTCTTGGCCGGACGGTTCACTTTGAGCGATGGCGGCGTAAGTCGGATTTGGGTGGAGTGATTCGCGACGAGGCGTCCTGTTGTCGAGCTCCTCTTCCAGTGAGTAATGGGGTGGTGACTCTGTTATGCAAGAGTCGTTTATCTTGACCATGCAGTTGACTATATTTCTTGCTCCTTGTGCAGGTTGTCCAGTTGAGGTCGTTGAAGCTTGAATCGTGGTTGTCGAGCTTGCTTGTGTCGAAGCAACTTGGGTGCTTGAAGGCCGCAGTTGTCGATGTGGTGTTGTCTGACGAGACGGGCAGTGCGTGCGTGGGTGTCCTGATGTCTTGCAGATGTGACAAAACGGAGGTACTGGCTTCGGCTGCTGCTGTCGATTGTTGTAGTTGTTGTGTCGTCGCTGAGTATGGAAGGCAAACTCCGGTGCTAATACTCTTTTCTTGTGTCTTTCTTCTTGCAGGTCCATATCCTGCTGCTCGGCGTGAATTTCGGCGCAGAGTGCCGCTTCGGAGATCCTCCCGTGTGCTCGAAGAATTGCTTTGGTGGCGCGCCACTGAGGACCGAGGCCACCGATGACGACTGTTACGAAGGCGTCTTCAGAGATTGACCCTCCGCATCGAAGAAGCTTGTCGCGCAATTCGCGACATCGGCTGATATACGCCAACCCTTTTTCTCCTGGTTTCATTTCAACTGTTGTCAACTGCGCCATTAACCTGCTCTGGTTTACACTGTCTGTTGCCTGGTACAGGTTCTTCAGATGGCCGTACGCGAGTTCCGCCGAGTTGCCAAAGTTCCGGTAAGAGCGAATGTTCTGCTGCTGGGTTGGTGTGATGTTTCTCAGTAGAATAGTATACGCCATCATGGATTGATACGCATACTGCTGCTTCTCATACTGTGTCCCGTTTGCTGGATACTGCAGGGATCCGTCGAAGAAGCCGAGTATCTGCGCGCCCTCCATCATCAACTCGAATTCAAAGGACCAGGTAGAGAAGTCCTTTCCGTCGAAAGGTCTTGATGTCTGTAGTTTCAGAACATGCGCGAACTGCGACTGAACTTGTAAAGCATCCATTGGTTTGTCTTGCGCAGGTGGAGGTTGAGGCAGGAAGCTGATCGACCCGCGTTCGTACGGGACGAAGGTGGGTTGCTGCTGTTGATTCCCTCGCGCGTATGACGACCCGTCAAGGCTCATGGGTGCCGCTCCGTTGTTGCTGTTGTGTGTCTGTGCAGGTCCCGACTGTTGGTGTTGCTCGTAGAAGGACATGAAGGAGAAGAATTTCTCCATCATGTTCTGGTCGAAGTCAGAAGGGTGGTTCGTGGGCGTCTCGGTTGACGTTCCCCTTGGTCTAGCTGCCGTGCCTTCCTCTGTCTGCAGGCCAGAGGCTGGTGGTGGAGTGGGAGTAGTGCCCGAGGAGCCATTAGGAGAGCTCCTTTCCTTGTTTGTTGCCATGTCTTGAAAATGATTTTGAAAAGGAGTTTAGAGTTTTCCCCTGTCTGCTCTCATACCATGTTGGGCTGAGGAAGCCCTTAGGATCTTTGCAGAGGATGACTCTTGGGTAGAAACTTGTAATAGCGGAAGCGTTTAATGAAGATTGTGAACCGACCTTGCACTGGTGTGTGAGAGCAAAGTAGATTAAATTAAACAAGCAAGTACAAGGATTTATATAAGAGTACAGGGAATACGAATAGATAGATAACTGTATTGCTGTTGCGGTTCGATATAGTGCGACTCGGGCAACTGCTCTGTAACGAGTCAGTTGTGTGTCCTTAACTGTCGCGCTGTAATTTGTCGAGTCAAAGGTCGCTGACCTTTGACTTTCTCGTAACCTCCAGGCGGTTACCCTAACCTCCGAGGTTGACTCGATGCTTCGATTGGGACTGCTTCGCTTGGTGCCTTGGATTTTGACACGACAGAAGCGCACTTAAGACTTATTGTTTCCAACAATTCTGAGGTGAAGTCTCAAACTTATCCAAATATTTTAGTCGATTAGTAATCACAGGAAATATTGTTCAGTTTACTGCCTCACTCTTACTCGCGAGTTTCGCGTTCCCCACCATTTCAACCCCAAGAGAAGCGCAGTGTGCCCCACCAGTGCTGGGGCGGGAGCAGTGCTCTGTCGCACACTGGGTCGTTCGGCCCTCCCATACCGTCATACCCCGGATATAAGCGCCACCCTCGGATAAGCGCCTGGCGCTTTTAATTGGCGTGTGGCGCTTATATCCCCTGCTCGATTATAAGCGCACCCCCTGAAAAAACTTGTTTTATTATAAGCGCACGTAAACTTTTTTTTTGAAATGTGTTCAAAAAACTTTAACGATTTCTACTTTAGCAGGCAGATGTTTTGCAGATTCGGTTCCCTTCACATTCGGACCCTGCACTGGATTCGGGTCCAGTCAGCAGGAGCTGTCATGAGTTGTCAGGAGCTGGATGTGAGTCAGATTGGGTGTACCTCCCTGCGCGCGAGAATTTCACAGACAACCCCATGTAACTTCGTCTCGATTGAAAAGGCAAGCACGAGATCTACAGCACGAGATCTACTTCAAAAATATATAAAAACATATATGTCATTTTATAAACGCCGGCGCTTATAAATTTACCCGATTATAAGCCCACCCCCCTAAAAAAACCTGCTTTATTATTGCCCCCCATGGGGGTATATCCGGGGTATGACGGTATCCTCGGGGACAGCTGTCGCATAGTATCGTGGCGAAGACTGTTTTTCCCGCCTCCTGAATTCGGTTTCGCCCCACACACATTTTCGAAATTCACGATTTTCAGGTTTTCGCCTAACTGTTTCAACCCCACATAACTTGAAAAATTACCATGCTGACCTCGGGTTTTAAATTGTTTCTCTACAAAAATTATTCATTTAGCCATGAGATTCCACACTGACAAAATCAGCATAAACCTACCCCCGAACACTGATTTGGTCACAACTTTGGGCAAGGCGCACTGATCCATCAGCATGCTGAAACCAATCTGAGGGTCTGCTAGACAATAATGTCCTCATCGTACACGATAACGCATATCCATGCTAGACAACAATAACTTGTGTAGATAATCTACGGTACGAGGCAGCGGGAATGGCAGGGCGCAGAGCAGCGGCAGGGCAGGGGGCATGGAAGAGCGCGCAGTGCAATGGGGCTACTACACGATGATTTCCTCGTCATATACGGGGCTTCCACACCCCGGCGACAGGGCATCCAGAATGCGCCATGAGTCGGTCCTCTTGTCAAACTCCTGCCGACATGCATGGTGGGCAGGGGGGTTGACAGAGAGCAGGGCAGGAGAGTGGGGAACGAGGGAGGGGGATGGCAGTGCACAGAGCAGGAGAGTATGGAGGGGGGGCGGATGGGAGGGCACAGAGTAGGAGAGCGGGAGGGGAGATGGCGGGCACAGAGCAAGAAAATCGGGGGAGGAGGGGGTTAGAACGGTGCAGACCAGGAGAGCAGGGAAGGGGAGGGGGATGGCAAGGCACAGAGCAGGAGAGCTGGGGGAAGGGGAGCGGGATGACAGGGCGCAGAGCAGGAGAGTGTGGGGAGGAGGGGAGTGGCAGGACGTAGGGCAGTGGCGGGGCAGGGGGGATGGAAGGGCGCAAAATCAAGGGGAAGGGGAATGGCAGGGCGCAGAGCAAGTGAGAGGGGGAGAGCTCACAGTGCGCAGCACTCTGAGGTCGGGCAGAGAGGCGAAGGCGGCACTCTCAAGGGCGTCTGTCTGCCACACATCCTCGCCTGCCTCCTGGAATAGCGGCTCTATCTCCACCAGCCCCAGGTTCTGGCAGCACGCGGAGGGGTTCAGAGGGGTTAGGAGAGGTCCAGCGACCAAAGGTGCAGAGGAGAGAGCTGAGAGATGAGGGCAGTCAGAGCAGTTGCTAGAAACCACCTTCGCTGCTTCTGACTCTACGGCTGTGTCTCCACCAGCTACATACACCTCGATAGGGAGGAGATTGGGATGACGGAAATGTGAGGCAGGAAAACAACGGGGGAAGCGAATGCAATGAGGAAAGTATGTAGGCAGAAAAGGGCATAGACGAGACGCAGCACGCATGCATGAATCAACAAACGCTCGACACACTTGATGCACGGACATCAGAGGCTCTTCTCCCACTTGATGCACGGACATCAGAGGCTCTTCTCCCACTTGATGCACGGACATCAGAGGCTCTTCTCCCACTTGATGCACGGACATCAGAGGCTCTTCTCACCTCGGGTGGGAGCTTGTGGCGATCGCCACGGTCTGTTGGAGGGACAAGGGGAGGTGGTAGTGGCGGATTGGGGGGTTCTGCTGGCAGATGAGGAGAATGTGCTGGCAGATGAGGAGAATGTGCTGGCAGATGAGGAGGATGTGCTGGCAGATGAGGAGGATGTGCTGGCAGATGAGGGAGCAAGCTTCGGGTGCTATGTGCAGACGAGGTAATTGACCATAAGGGAGGCAACACAGAAGAAGCAGTGGGTGGCAGGGTGGAAGAGAGCAAGACAAGGGGCGTGGCAGGGAAGCAGCGCACCTTTATTGCGGCCAACCACGAAGCCAACGCCTGTACGCACATGGAAAGGGAGGAAGAGGAGATGAAAGGAGAAGAACACGGCAGGGCTGAGTGATGTGATACGGCGACACGTCAGGCCGAGAGAGGACTAGAGAGGGCACGAGTGGGCAAGAAAGGGCAAGAGAGAGAGAGGGCACGAGAGGGCATGAGAGGGCAAGAGAGGGAAAGAGAGGGCAATAGAGGGCAAGAGAGGGCAAGAGAGGGCAAGAGAGGGCAAGAGGGGGCAAGGGAGGGCACGAGAGGGCAAGAGGGGGCAAGGGAGGGCACGAGAGGGCAAGAGCAGAGGCTGACCTTTGGTGCGGCCGTCATCGAATCTGTCCCTGACAGCAGCAGAGAGTGGGTACTCCACCACATCGCCTGTCACCGCCTCCACCACCCCTGCCCCTGCTGCCCCCGCTCCTTGGCCCTCCCCCTCGCCCTCACTCTCGCTGTCTGACGACCACCTGCTTGCTGCTGCCTGCCTCGCGTCGCCCTTGCGCGTCCTGCCATGCAGCAAGGGGGGTTATGCAGCAAGGGGGGTTATGCAGCAAGGGGGGTTATGCAGCAAGGGGGGTTATGCAGCAAGGGGGGTTATGCAGCAAGGGGGGTTATGCAGCAAGGGGGGTTATGCAGCAGGGGGGGTTATGCAGCAGGGGGGGTTATGCAGCAGGGGGGGTTATGCAGCAAGGGGGGTTATGCAGCAAGGGGGGTTATGCAGCAGGGGGGGTTATGCAGCAGGGGGGGTTATGCAGCAGGGGGGGTTATGCCACAGGGGGGGTTATGCAGCAGGGGAGGTGGCAGCAGGGGGGGTATGCAGCAGGGGGGGTTATGCAGCAGGGGGGTGGGTGGCAGCAGGGGGGGTGGCAGCAGGGGGGGTGGCAGCAGGGGGGATTGTGTGAGGGGGTGTACAGCATGCTGCACATGGTGCACGCTTCATGCCACATGGTATGTCTCCTACTCGCGACATGCCACATGCTGCTCGCCATATGCCATATCCCGCTGCCACTGAACACATGCCACGTGGCACCATGGCACATGCAGATAGCGGCACAAGGGATTGCAGAGATGACCTCAAACCACCCTCACGCTTCCGTCATGCTACCCAGCACTAGCACTGACGACCCACCCAACAGCAACTCATCACACATGTGAGCACTTGCTGTCTTCCCACCCAGCAAGGCTCAGTGACATGACACTGGGAGAAGGTTGGCTCAGTGACATGACACTGGGAGAAGGTTGTCAGCGTGTGCCTTCCCAAGACACTCACCTTGCAGTCACCACCTGCACCTTTATTGGTGGGGCCCACTCATACCACGTGGATTGAACACCTTGTGCTGAAACAGCCACTTGCACTGGCAGACCCCACCTCACCTCACCTCACGGACACCTCACCTCAACTCATAGCGGCTCACTGACATCACACCACACCACCCGTGTCCCACTAGACTGCCTCACTTGCGCTGGAACGGCTGGAACTCGTCCCACGTGTCAAACGCCTCCCACGCCGCTCCCTTGCGCTGTGCGCTGCCCTCTCTGCCCGACATAAAGTCGCGGCTCAGCGCTGCCGCCCCAAACCGGTCGTACAGCGCCCGTTGCTCCTCGTCCACCAGCACCTGATGGGGGGCGGGGGGGGAAGGGTGAGAGGCGCGAAGTACTGGTGTGTGATTTTTCAGTCGACTCAGCGCTGCCGCCCCAAACCGGTCGTACAGCGCCCTCTGCTCCTCGTCCACCACCTGATGAGGGCGGGGGGCGGGGCGGGGAGCGGGGCGGGGAGCGGAGCGGAGTGGGAAGGTGTGTGCAGTGGCGTGTGTTAGGGTGTCATACAGGGCCTTGTGCTCCTCATCCACGGCCCACCAGCACCTGATGGAATGGGTGCGTTGTGGGGGAGGGGGAGGACCAGTGGGTGGGAGGGGCTTTGCAGTGGTGCATGTTGCAGTGGTGCATGTTGCAGTGGTGCATGTTGCAGTGGTGCATGTTGCAGTGGTGCATGTTGCAGTGGTGCATGTTGCAGTGGTGCATGTTGCAGTGGTGCATGTTGCAGTGGTGCATGTTGCAGTGGTGCATGTTGCAGTGGTGCATGTTGCAGTGGTGCATGTTGCAGTGGTGCATGTTGCAGTGGTGCATGTTGCAGTGGTGCATGTTGCAGTGGTGCATGTTGCAGTGAAGTGAAGGTGCGTCGTATCGTGTCGTACAGCGCCCTCTGTTCCGTTCCTCATCCACGCCCACCAGCGCACTTGAGAGTATCCTACAAGGGGGGAGAAGTGGGAGGGGCTGTGTACTTGAGAGTGCATTTACAAATGACTGCCCATCGTCCAGGATTACAAGTGCTGTGCGCGCTGTGGGAGCGAGTGAATGGTATGTCGTGACGTGTGGCCAACAGCTAGGGAGAGATACCGACTGGCGATGGCGGCTTTGGAGTTGGGTCGGCAGGTGGAGGCGAGTGGGTGGAGTGGAGTGAGCAGCATTGAGACTGCGCAGACAGTCTTGGAGGATGATTATAACGAGGCAAGCGCAGGCAGTGGTGAGAGCAGCCCGTTACCTCGTACGCGTTACTGAGCTGAATGAAGGTGTCTGCCGCCCCCGGGTCGCTGTTGACATCTGGGTGGTACTGTAGGGAGGGAGGCCGCGAGGGAGGCGGGGAGGGAGGACGAGGAGGGCAGGGAGGAGACAGATGCGTGGAAGAAATGAGGCAGAGACGAGGAAGAGAGGGGGCAGGATGGGAGTGAGGGACGGGAAACCAGGAGCGACTGTGATTGGAATGCACTTGGCCACTGTGGGAGGTACACGTGTGCGTCATGACGTGTACGGAGCCGCCACCGACCGTTACTACTGGCCTACAGCGTCGTCGGCGGTATGAGCGAGTCGCGGTGGACATTACGCGAAACGGAACGCCAACGGGCCGTGACTATACGGAGAGTGACAGCAGAGGGGTGTGAGGCAAGGACGTGGCTTATGCTTGCTTAGAGTGGCTCTATCTCTCTCTTACTCTCTTTGTCTTTCTCTCTTTCTCTCGAACCGAATACAACACTCAGCTTGAAGCGCCAGCTTGCGGAACGCGCGTTTCAGCTCAGTTTTATCCGTGCTACGATCAACCCCGAGAAGCTCGTACAAGTCCACGTCCGCATCTGCAGCGACATTCGTTCCCGTCGCGGAGACAATCGCCAACCGACGACGCGAAACCGCAGATCCCGTGCGTCTCCCGCCGACAGCAGCAACGCCGTCGCGAGATGGCAAACGAAGCGAACGGCCAGTGCAGGCGAATTGGGTGCACGGCGCGGGCTCTTGCGCTTGCGGTCGGCATTGTTTTTCACGGTTCTGGTACAAGCTCCTGGTCTGATACAGCGTAGCGGGAATCGCGGTGGATGCCATGGTCACGTTCTATCCCTTGGCAGACGAGCAGGTGCGAAGAATGGGTGAGGCCTGTTTTACTTGGCTTTGAAATAACAATGGTGGAGGTGGCGGCTTGGACTGTAAATGAATCTGCGCCATTCAAACTCATGCATGTAGGGATCACCCCAAGGCGGCGCGCTGACGGGGAGCCACATGGCGGTGGGGAAATCGGATAGATGTTTTCGATTTGAGCTCACTCTTTGACATGCTTCCGTTATAATCAAAGCAGTTATAATCTAATCTCTCCGTTTAGAGAATGAACATTCATATGTTCCGGGAAAATAATGATTGCCACTTTTTCTGAATATATAAAGAGACTAGCATCGGATTTTCAATTCACTTTATTCTAATATCAGATAATATTGTGTACGCTGCTAATATATTTATTCATTTCCATAAGTGAATCCTACCTGGAAATGACCCACCGCTTTGGGCTAAACTAGCAACTCGCCCTCACTCGCAAACCCTAGCCTCCATCCCTCGTCGACTAAAACCCTCCATCCTCTTCAATCCTTCCTTTCCTTGACCTACTACTTCCTCCTGCTTTCACGTGCTTTGCTTCCACTACCTCCCACTTCCCTCCGTCTTCACATTCGTCGCGCCATGGCTTACCCCAACGCGTCCGACGACCTGGTGTGGGTGCTGCTGAACCAGGGCCACTGCTACAAGGCGCGCACGGCCGTCGGCTCCAAGCGCCACCTCAGCCGCGAGCCCAACAACCTCGTCGCGCTCCACTCGCGCAAGTACACCGGTACGCGCCCCCGCAAGTGCGCAGATGCGCGCTGACGCGTCCTGATCCTTTTGAAGCAGTTTTTTTGCAAACTTTGCTAACGCAGCATATCGGATGTTGCAATAAGCAGATGTTGCAATAAGTGGATATCGCAAAAGCGAATGTTGCAACAGCGGGGCGTGAGGTGATGAGGTAGCACGAGATGATTATCGGTTTATGGCTCGATTAGCGCCACGCGATTAGACGAATATCAGGCCGCACTGCCATCCGTCGAGTCCGCCGCTCAGAGTCGCATTTCCGTGTTATGGGGAGCACCGGAGACGTTCTCGCATCTGTTTTTGTGACCCAAAAAGGGACGCCTGTGTAACAACTTTTCCGGCGCCTCATTAATCGCGAAAGGGGGCGATTTAAGTAGCTACCAGATGTACTTGGAGAAGCAGGCGGATCCAGGATTTTTCGAATCCAAACCTTTTCTTTTGAATTCAACATCGGCGCGCAGAGATCGTGGAAAGCCGCTGCATCGAACATGGGGCATCGCGCCGTTTCTCGTTTCGTCGGCAGGTCACACCAGCCCGCACTACCCTCTTCCCCCCTCCCAAACCAGGCCTGGTGTCGGGAAAGACAGTGGCGATCCACACGAAGGGCAAGCGGCAGAACCTGGAGATGAGGGAAGCTTGTCTCCTGCACTCCCTCCCCTCTCCTGTCCACGCGCTGGCGAACCTTCTGCATCCCACTCTATCCCCCTCCCCACCCATAACCAGGTCTGGCGGCGGGCAAGACGGTGGCGATCCGCGCAACGGGCAAGGGGCAGAACCTGGAGATGACGATCACGCACCCCGACAAGGCGCACAAGCCCGCCGAGGCGCGCGAGGTGATCGTGCTCAAGAAGGACATGCCGCAGATCGCCAAAAACATCACGGACCGGGTGCGTTATAAGCAGCGAGGATGAGGTGCGGACAGGTTGCGTTATAAGCAGCGAGGTTGAGGTGCGGACCAGGTGCGTTATAAGCAGCGAGAAGGAGCTTCGTTATAATATCAACTATCAGTTGCGTTCAGGGCACCAGTGGTAGTAGTGCGCGCTGATAGCAACACCCACTAGTGATCAGCCCTCCCCTCGTTCCTCCCTCCCAAGGCTCCTCTCCAATCCCGGCACCCCCCCTCCCCTCAATTCCACCCTCCCCGCCCTCTGTCTGCTGTACCCCCACAAGCTGGGAAGTCAGCTCAGGCGTTTCCATTCGACACGCATCTCCTGCACACAACTTTCTCCGCACTCCGCAACGCCTCTCCCTTCCCCCATCCCATATCAGCTGAGCTGAATACATGCGAGCCATGGCTGATCAAGGCGGTACTGTACTGACACACTGCATTGCACCAATCAACCCCGATTCCCTACTCTACTCCAAATCACTTCTACCCGCCCCCCTCCCCTCTCTCTTCCCCAGTTCCCATCAGCTAACGACATACGAGCCGCGGCTGAACATTGCAGTGCTGACATACCCCTACCCCTATTCCCCTCTTGCGCACTCCTCATCCTCACTCCTTTCCCCCCATCCTCCCTTCCTTTTCCCCCCTGTTCCCCCCCAACAGCCAAAGACGTATGAGCCGCGGCTGAACAAGGCGGCGCTGACTTACGCCTACAGCCTGCACTCCACCCATCTCGTGCTATCCCTTTCTCCCCTTCCCCGCTCCCCCTCTCCTCTCCTCCCCCCCCACCTCCCCCCAACAGCTGAAGACGTACGAGCCACGGCTGAACAAGGCGGCGCTGGCCTACGCCTACAACCTGCACAAGGCGCTGCGCCGCAGCGAGAGGGGGCAGGTGGGCACCGGCTCCAAGCACGTCGCCGTGCGCTGAAGCCCCCACAAGCCACATGCACTGCCTAGTGCTGCCTGAGTGATTGCTGAGCTGGCCAGAGCTTAAGCTATAGCTGGTTTTGAAACCTACAGTTATGGGGGTTGTGATGTCGTTTGTTGGAAGCGGCATCGGTTACATTAACTAGGTGCAAGTGCTGTAAGAAATGCCTTTTTTCAGATTTGAAGCTGCTCCTTCATGCCAAACATAGTTGATGTTGCTTGTTTGGGTTCTTCATGAGCCTACAACTGAGGTTTGGAAGCAGGAGTAGACAGAGATGGAGAGGGCTGGGCAGCGGGGCTGGGCCGCAGGTTGCCAGCCAAAGGGCACTAGTACAGTAAATCAATCTGTGCTTTCACGTTGTCTATGCGATATTTGAACATGGGTATAAGAAATTGGGTATTGCATGGCAGGGCCCACGATATCAGGGCAAAACATCCTGATTACCCTGATTTCAGGATGGTGTCTTAAGTTTGCCCTGGAATTTCAGAATGATGCTGAAATTTACCCTGTGACGTCAGGATGATCCTTGTGTTTTGCCCTGAAATTTCAGAATGGCAGTGAATTTTTGCCCTGAAGCGTTAGGGTGAATGTAGAGGGATTCCCTGACTCTAAGGGGAGAAAGGGTGGAGGGGGGAGAGAGGGAGAGGGAGAGAGGGGAGGAAGGAGGCTGGAGGGTGTGTGTGCTAGTTTTGTCCTCACCCCTCCCCCACCAATGTTTTTGCTCCGCCAGTAGAAGTGAAACCAGTGAACAACCTGCTCCTTTCGTGCCTTCCCCTCCATCCTCTCTAGTGCCTCGTATTTTTTGCCCTGGATCATCCTGATGAATTTCTGCTGGTGCCCTGAAATTTCAGGATGGCCAGAAAATTTTGCCCTGAAGAATCAGGGCATTTCAGAGATTTTTCAAAAGTTACCCTGAGGGCTCAGGGTGCCCAAAATCCTAGCACAGGCCCTGTTGCA